GCCCAGCAATGGGGTGTGTGGGGTGTATACGTGCAAATGGCTCCACGCTCAGCCAGGAGAGACGGGATGGAGCCAGGACACAGCTCCCAGGGTTGGATGGATGGGACAATACAAGGGCCTCAGGAGGGTTTCCAGCCTCCTGCTCTCCTTGCAGGGACCTCAGCCCTACCCAAGGTGACACGGGCCAAATCTGGACACAGGGCAAGACCAAGAAGCTCAGCTCTGCAGAGGATTTAGTCCTCAAGCAGCACACACCCCACTCGGGGCAGCAACCAGGTCCCACCCTGGCTGTGCAGAGCCTCTCTCCATGGGGACAGCAGTGACAACAGCCCAGGGAAAGGGGGGACACACACAGGACAGACGTTTGCTCTTACATCAGTGTCTTGCTCGCTTATCTTGTAGGCGTGCAGCGGCTCCCGGAACGCCTCTGGGAACGGGGTCACCTGCAAGCAGAATGTGGGGTGAGCCCAGCTCTGGGAGGCCCTGGGGAAGGGGAGGCAGCTCCCAACCCCTCTTTTCCATCTCTGGAGCAGGAAAAGAGGCAGGAGCTGAGTCTCTGGAGCTGGCAGGTGCTCCTTGAAGCTGGCTCAGCCAGGCAGCCACTGGCACCGGGTGCTGCAGGACGTGGGTGCTGCAGCTCTCACCCTGGCCCTGCCCACTGGCTCAGATGAAAGCACAAACACCCTCCTCATTCCCAGCCCCACTGCCCATCAGCTGGAATTAGCTGGAGACGACCTCTCTGCAGGACACCAAGAGCAGAGGTAAAGAGATGCCTCGTGAATCATTAACTGCCTGGCACATAACCGCCACCGTTCCACAGGCAGGGAAACAAAGGCAGAAGGATTAAGCTGTAATTCCACTTAGCAGAGTGGAAACACCTATAAATCAGGAGCTGCACCAGGGCCTGTTTACCATCCGGCTTCTCTGTGAGTCATTTTCCTTTCCTGGAAATCTAAATTACTAATGGGACCTCACCAATTAAATGCCTCCAAGATCTCGAGATGAAAGGCATAAGATAGGAGGAAGGGGATCATTATTGCTAGAAAGCAAGACGCTGCTCTAGAGGCATTTAAAACTACAGGACGATGCAAATAGACCCAAACCTGGGACCTGACTGGCAGGCTGGAGGCAGAGCCCTGCTGCTGGGGATGCTGCTGCCTCCAGGCAGGGAACCCGGCCAGCGAGAGCATCCCAGCAGCTCCAGCTCCACCCTCCAGCCTGTCCCCGCTCCCCACAGGACAAAACCCAGGGAGGTTCACGGAGCTGGGAGGTGCCCTGGGCCCCACGATGGGCTGTGGGTCACGGTGACCTGTTCCCAGGTGATGGGACCTGCCCACGTGTGGCGTGCAGCCCAACATCAGCATGGACTTCCCCATGATTTCACAGCCCTCTCCAGGCCAGGGAACTGAACCAGCCAGAGCCCCAGGAGGTAAAAGGCTGTTTCCTCTCCCTGCTGTGGGAGTTACTGCTTTGGTTTGAGAGCCTTGGGCTGGATTCCTGGCTTTAAGTCATCCCCCATCTCCCCCTTTCCTCACCAACACCCGATGGCAACGGGAAGACGAGCAAAGCACCCAAACGAGGGCGAGAGTCCAGGACCCCCACGTCCCCACCTTGCGCTCTCAGCACAAGGATTTACTGGGTTTTAATGGCTCATGGATGGATTAAGCAAAGCCTGTGATGGACTAGCAGGTCCCCGAGAGCGAGATGTGCCAGAGCCACATGGATGCTGGAGTCTGCATGAGTGGAAATGGCAGGAGGTGACCTCGGGGATGGAGCGTGGGGCGGCCGGCGTGGCTGCCATGCACGGCCCTGGTGGGTGGCCGGTGGCTTACTTGCATGTAGAGCTGAGCCCTAGGGGGGGAGGTCTCCACCATCCTGTTCACCATACTGATCAGGGTTTCGCTCTCGCTCATCTGCGGCAGACAGGGAAGGAAAGTTCAGAGGTCAGCAGGGAGGTGCTGGGGAGCTGCCCTGCTCGGGGGCCAGCCAGGCGGCTCAGGCACCTCCAAAATGCCACCTCCAAGACTTGTCCCAGGGCCTTGAGCCACACGGGGACGGCTGCCTTGGGCTGCCACTGCTCCACTTGGTGTACTCACGAGTGTCCCAGGCTGGTTGCATGCCCTGAGAGCTTTGTTGAGGGGAAAACACAGATCAAACCGAGCCAGCTCCGAGCTGCACGCACAGACACAAGCTGGCACAGATGCCCGCGGCTGCAGCGCACAGCCTGGTCCCAGCAGACAGACAGACGGGCTCAGTGCTCTGCTCTGGGGGCAAGGTTGGGGCTGGCATGGACCCACTCGATGTGTGGATGAGCTCCAGGCACAAGGGAAGGTGCCCGAAGCCTGGGGTGGGGGACAGCAGTGTCCCCCCTCTTCAGTCCAGTGGCCCCAAACAGCAGAGCTGGCTGGGAGTGGGGCGCTCCTGTGGAGATGGCACATTGGAGTCATGGGATTATAGAACTGTTTTGGTTGGATGGGATCTTGAAGATCATCGAGTCCAACCAGCACTGCCAGGTCTCCACTGAGCCATGTCACTCAGCACCACATCTCCACGGCTTGGAAACCCCTCCAGGGATGGGGACTCCACCACTGCCCTGGGCAGCCTGGCACAGGGCTCAACAGTCCTCCAGGGGAAGAAATTGTTCCTCAGGGCCAACCTCAACCTCCCCATGTGCAACTTGAGGCCATTTCCTCTTGTCCTTGGGAAAAGAGATTGACTCCCACCCTGGCTCCAGGCTCCTGTCAGGAGCTGTGCAGAGCCAGAAGGTCTCCCCTGAGCCTCCTTTGCTCCAGGCTCAGCACCCCCAGCTCCCTCAGCTGCTCCTCCCCACACTTGGGCTCTAGACCCACTGCAGCTGTGCTGCCAGGCAGGACAATGATGTGACTGTGTTTGACATGCCCACAGCTCCTCAGAGCTGCAGCCAGTTGGCATCACTGCCCCAAGCTGAGCCGTGCCCTCCTGCACTCAATCCAGCTGTGATCCAATCCCAGGGTCCATTCATACCCCTGCGACCTCAAGGGTTTTGCTGCTCTCCAGGCTGTGCAGCCAGCAAGGGCCACAAGGTCCTTTGGTACTGCTCAGATCAGCAGCACTGGAGCTTCACCAGCACTGCAGGAGCTCACAGCCCAGAGAGGACAACGCAAGAGGAAGCCACTCACACCTGGGACCCCCAAGGTCCAAGGGGTGTTGGCAGCTTAAACACAAACCAGGGACCAAACCCCGACTAGGGGCAGGTCAGGAAGGGGGGTGCAGCCGAGGGAGCCATCCCTACAACTGGCACAAGCATGGAGAGAGAAAATGAAGCAGCAAGCAGTTTGAAAAGGGATCCTTGACAGCGTCACTCCGAATTAGGCTCTGCCAAGGTCAGCAGGAGAGGAGGAGGAGACACAAAGCCTTTTTAGGGAGTGTTTTAAAGAGCCTCGGACAGCGAGCGCTGCCGCCGGTGGCCGTGAAATAATCCAGAGAGCTTTTATTGCAGCGAGTGCTCCTGCCTGTCCTTGGCTCTGCTCCAAGGCAGACACAGATCTTGGCGATTACTGCACCGATGGAGATTTGCAGACTAATGAGATTGTCCCTGGAGCAGCTCCCTCGGTGCAAGCCTGGCCCTCCCCAGCGAGCGCCTGGGCTGCAGCACTGGGCAACGGCTCCTGGCTTTGGCTTCAGATGATGCCTGCAGCTCCCATCCCACCAGTCCTGGGGGCTCTCCCAGCTGGATCACCCCCATCCTGCTCCCAGGATGAAGTCAGTCCCCAACTTTCCTCCAGATGCCCCTTGGCACGCAAAAACCTGGGAGCTGCTGCCTTGGTGTTGGTGCCAGCAGGTGCCTCACACTGCAGCAAGCCTCTGAGAGGGAACAGGGCCAGCAGGTACCAAAACCACCTTGCACCCATCCAGATCCCCATGGGGCACAGCCCTGGGACCTGGCAGCAGCCTGGCTCACCCTGATGCCAGTGGCACTGCTGGGTGTGGGACATGGGGCACAGCCCTGGGACCTGGCAGCAGCCTGGCTCACCCCAATGCCCGTGGCACTGCAGGGTGTGGGACATGCCATCCAGCATGGCCACACCAGCACCATGCAATCCCTGTCCTGCACCACCAACCTGGGGAAGCTTTTGGAGCCAGCTGCTTCCCCTGCACCCCGAGGGCTGCCACCCGAGGTCCTGGGCATGTGAGAAGCTCCCCCCAAAGACTCTCCAACCCCATCTCCACACAGAAGGCACTGTCAGAGGGACATTTCTGCCAAGCAATGAGCGACCCTACAGACAGGAAGGATGGAAGAAGCAAACCAAAGACGACTCGTGCTGCTTTAGTGCCAAGAAGGGTGAGGATGGATGTTAGGGGAAGAGATGCTGCGCCGGGAGGGAAGGGGACTCACTGGGACAGGGCACACGGGGACGTAAGCAGCGTGAGGCTTGCAGCCATCTCTGCCTACCTGCTGGTCCAAATACTCTAGGTTTCTTTGCAACTGAAGGTCTAAAAGTTCATCCTACCAGGAGCCAGCAGGCACGCGGCAAGAAACGAACACACAAAACATATAAAAGAAGAAGCAAAGCAGTTAGGTGAAGGCTACGGAAGGGCCAAGACCTCTGGGCATGGGACCAAGGCACCTCCTGGCAGAGCCCTGGCTGGACCCGCTCTCCTCCCGGCTCTCCCTCCCCGGAGTCCCCACGGCCCTTCCCCTGCGTCTCCGGCTAGCGAGGATGGATGGCAGCATGGGTGGCTCATGGCAACTCTGCTTCTCCCATGTCTGGTCCTGCCCCACAATCTGGGGACCGTGCTCTGGGGGGGATCTCCCTGTCTGACCCCGCCAGCGCTCCGAGGGGAAACAACGCAGGAAGCAGCAGCAGCTGTAGCCAGAATTGAGGCAGCGAGAGGGGGAGAGGTGCAGGGGGGGGTGCCAGCCTCAGCTGGGGACCACCCCAGGGGTGACGAGCCCGGCCCAGCACCCCAAGGCGTGCGGGGGTCCAAGGGTGTCTTGTCCCACCGCCCTCACGACCTGGGGGCTGCAGGGCAGGGACCGGGGCCCTTTCCACAAGGATTTCCTTTGGGTATGGCTGGGAGGGACCAGAGACATCAGTAAGAGGACCTGGGGTGCCCCAGTTCTGCCCCACAGAGGTGCCCCTGGAGCAGAGCGGATCCTCCTCAGCCTCCTGAGCACGGAGCCCACCGTGCCTGGCCCCCGGGGCCAGCAGGGCACCTACCATCTTGTCGTGGACGCTGGGTGATGCCGGGTAGTGGTACGGATACATTCCCGCAGGGACGGGCC